AGGAGGAAGCATTATCATGGATTATTGACTCAAATTTTGACCAGAAGTGACCGTTTAAAGTCAAACAAGACATTAATTGATTACTTGTGGTTTACCGAGATGTTTTTATCAGCTGTTTGGACTCTCATTCTAACGGCACCCATTCACTGCAGAGGATCCATTGGTGAGCAAATTATGTAACGCTAAATTTCTTCAAATCTGTTCCAAAGGAAAAACAAACTCATCTACATATTGGATGGCCTGAAGTGGAGTACATTTTCAGCTGAACTTTAAGCCTCTCCAGCACAATTCAAAATCCACATACTTACTAGCATGGAAGATATGGATCGTCATGAAAATAAAACAGCAAATATACATTGTGTTTATTTCTTTGTATGCATATTTGAGAAATTTAGTTTGGATCACACACAGACAGACAGAAACGGCAGGGAAAAAAGAACAAAACTTTCAGGATACACGACACAAGTGCTAACAGATTACTGATAGTCTGATCAGACCTGTGGAGGACATAATAAATGAAGTCATTCAGCAATACTTAAGCAAAGACCTGCATCAAAAAAACGCCTGCTTGAAATAATCACACATTAAGTGTTTGCATTAATCCTATTAAGTAGTTACATCATACCATTACGTCATAAGATGCTTTGCATTCCACTTTTACTTTCTTTGAGTGTATCCACGTAGGTTTAAAGTCATGTCATAACCATGAACATACCTCACAATTACGTGAGTCTCAGGCACAGAACACACCTGCTTTAAATGACAGCCATGTGAACTGGGGCAAACCCAAGGCAAATAGACAGATCTTACACGTCGCTTTCTCTCTCTGTTCTGAACCATAATAGGAAGTCAAACTAAAAGGCAAATAATAGGCTCTGTATTTGAATAAAGAGCAGCCCTCATTTCCACTGAAGAGCAAACACTGAAACATTTTTTTTCTTAAAAAAAGAATATATATCATAATATCTTATCATAATACGTTTATGCATTATTATATTGAACATTGGATTTTTCATACAGTTGTTACATATTTCTATCATAATTTACTCACTCTTATACACTGCAAAGCTGTAAGCTTTGAAAAATAATAATGGAATAAAAAATTAAAAGGTCATTCTTTTCCTAACCACTCTGACTCTTTGTATTCTCGCAATTGAGTTTATGGGCCCTATTTTAACGATCTAAGCGCATGGTGTAAAGCGCACGGCGCAGGTGCACTTACGGTGTGTCCAAATCCACTTTTGCTAGTTTAACGATGGAAAAAACGGTTGGCGCATGGTCTAAAAGGGTTGTCCCTATTCTCTTAATGAGTAATGGGTGCGTTTCGGGCATAACGTGCAATAAACCAATCAGAGACTCATCTCCCATTCCCTTTAAGAGCCAGTTGCGCTCGTGCCATGGTGGATTTGCTGTTTACATGGCGGAATTTGCAAGCGCAAAGACAGAACGCATCTCCAAAGAGGAAACGGAGCTGCGCGTGCAAATGGTAGCCGTAATTCTGATACATGCAATGACTATCCATTATGACATGTAGGCATTTTTATATTTATGTAGCCTAAACAATAATAATCTTTTACATTGCAATGCTTTAATTTTTAATATTTGGCATGTTTGTGTGCTTCTGCACGTCCCTGGTTGTGTAATAAGCAGAGTGTATGCTCGCTGTGGACCCGCCTATACTAACGCGCTCTTTAAATAACAAAAAAACTACTGCGCCATTGACTTTAGACCAGGTTTTTGTCGCCTGAACACACCTCGTTTTCAGACAAGCACGCCCATGAGCGCACAAATGGGTGCAAAATGCATTTGCGATTTAAACAACGTGGCGCAGGACGTGAAAATGACAACTGCATCGGGTTGAAACTAGCAAAAAACACTTGCGTCGCACCTGGCGCCGCATTGCACCGGGTGTATGATAGGGCCCTATATCTCACAATTCTAATTTTTTTTCACAATTGTTTTTTTTTAAGAATTGCAAGATATAAACTCAGAACTGTCAGATAAAACCGCATTGCACCGGGTGTATGATAGGGCCCTATATCTCACAATTCTAATTTTTTTTCACAATTTTTTTTTTTTAAGAATTGCAAGATATAAACTCAGAACTGTCAGATAAAAAGTTGCAATTACCGTTTTGATTTTTTTTATTCAGTAGTGGAAACAAGCTTCCACACGAAGCCATTTTAAAATAATTTTGAAGACCTTTTCTTTGCAAAAGGCCATAATATGCTTTTGGTTTTAATTTGATTGACTGTGTATCTCCAGTGTTTATAGCTATTTTAGATACTAAACTGCATAAACCAAATCTACCAAAGGAAAAGAACATGGTGTTCTCTCTCTCTCTCACACACACACACACAAACACACACACACACACACATATTATTCTTATAGGTTATGGAAAGTAAACACTTTACATAATTACACACCATTAGCCAAACCTTGGCTGTCACTCATGCCTGTCAGTTAGTGACAAGTAAAGTTTTGCTATACTGGGCTGGGATGGGGGGAAAGGAATGTAAAAACATCATTATTTGTAATACAGTTAGACTGGTTGTGTGAGATTGTGCTGGACCGTTTTACTCTATTAGTCCCATTTACTCGCTTGGAATGATAAACTATGATTTGTCAGAAGAACACATCTGAGGAAAATATCATGAACTGACCCAAGAAAAATTAAAGGATCATCTGATGAAGTTAATAACCAGTTGCTCCTGATATTAATAATTGTTCTGCAGCTGTTATAAGTAAAACTATAATGACTTAAAAGGGCTCATGGGACACATATTTTTATCTCAGCCTAATTATGATAGTATGAATGATTTTAGCTAAAGAAAAAAAAAAGTAAATCACAAAGTTAAACTCACTCTCATCAATGCTGGCATTTTTAAAACCACATGACCATGATGGGTCTTGTAATTCAAGTAATAATAGTAAAAACAACAGCAATGATAATTAAAATAAAACAACATGTTATTTTATATACTGAACTATTTGTGTTCTGGAGGGGGCTTTTCAAAGCATTCAAATACAAAACAAGTAAACCAAACATGGTCATGGTCAAGTCATGCGTGTGATCCACTAGTCCAAACAGAATGAGTACGAGTGGAAAAATAAAAAGTCCAAACAAGCAGACCCTGCTGGAGCAATGAATCAAACTGGCCTGACAATATGCAGCACCAGTGCCACACAACAAGGACAAACGGCAGAACCTCGAACACAAAGGGCTACAGCTGCCAAAACGCGAAATGCCCCTATGACCAAACCCAAAGCAAAAATACAGCTCTTACACTTCCCTTTCTCTCTCTCTCAAAGGCCAGAACAGAAAGTCGACAGGATATATCAGCAAGTCGGTCTAATATGCAAATCAATTGAAACTCACACACCTTCTGTTTTTGAATATGAGCAGCAGCCCTCTCCTTTCCAAAGAGCTAAAGAAAAATTAAGCTCGAGCAACTCCTAAATTGAAACTGTATAGCCTAACAATAAAAAAAAAAATATGAACACCTTAGCAACCTTAGACAAATTGGTAGGATTTACTACACTACTGAAGTCCTCATGACAGCGCAAACCAGGCTAGACAGATGCCTCCAAAGCAGTCCAGTAGACCCGTGTAGTTTGTTCTTGGAAGGAGATCAAAGAACACCATACAACACAATATAAATATGACAAGAGAGCACTGGGAAATGGGAATAATGCAACTGCATTAAAGAAACAATGTATACATTTATCTGCTGTAGCTGTATTGATGGCTGATGGAGTCAATCATGTTCAGACAAATTCATAATACATTCATGACTGCAATTTCAACATAAATAGTTCATAAATAAAGTATATTCAATCACAGAGGAAAACGATCTAAAAATGTGTGAAAAGAACATGAAAGTCAATGGGGGAAAATGTATATATTTATATATATTTTTTCCTTTTCTTTTTCTTCCACTGATTCTTTACACATGGGGCAAACCATTTCATGACTTTCCCTGCCATTAGATTCTTTATCAAGATAGTCATTTACTTAATCAGAGCTACTATGTCACCGATATTGAAAATAATTTTTGTGTTTTTAGATTTTATTTTATACGGTCCAGAAAAGCAATAATATTAGTATTTGTGAATTCAATAAAAAATACGTTTGGAACCATCCTGTTGTGTTCATTCATTCATCCATTGAATTGAGTCATTTTTAAATATTTACAACTCATATTTGGCGAATTTTTTCTGACCCTATTCATGCCGACTATACTGAGTGGGACATTTATTTTTTTATTTTTTTTCAAAAAAAAGTAAAGTAAAACAAACAAATAAATAAGGAGACTGCATCCAAACATTACTTTGAACTTGTGGAGCAGCTTAATTAAAAACAACTCCTTTATATTTACCCCCTCAGTTTTTACTAAACACGATCACTCGTTTTATGAAATAATTATTATAATGTTCATAGGAACTCCCAGGAGACGAAGCGTACTTTTGCTTGCCCAATATAGTTTTACAAGGGCGGAGTACTGAAACCAGTCCATGCAAAAGAAACCAAAGCATACTATGATTAACTGTTTGGGAGCTTATCACTTTCGAGTCATAATGGACTATTTTTTTATGACACAACTCGAACACCCACACAACAAACTTCTTTCCCCATAGAACAAAACGACACTCACTCGGTCTTTTTGCGTGATCTGTTGGCGTGGAGGTCCACTAAGTTGATGACAGCCTGTCCCAAAAACTTGTCCAGCCCCACCAGGGCTCGGTGCATGGCGATGATGTAGAGCGTGCACCGCTCCGCGTCCCCCTGATGGGTCAGCGGCAGATCGAAGCTCGCCTCCTCCTTCCACTCGGGCGAGACGCATTTCTCCGCGACCGAGGTGGAAAACTTGTCCTTGCCCACCTGCATGATGGCATAGGCGTCGTTCGTGCCATTCTTGCCCTTGATCCGCAGGTTTCGTGCGTTGAGCACCGTTACCTGAACGCTGGTGGGAAAAGACCATAAAAAATAATAAGGCAGTCTTCCAGTCTTAAGTTCTACAACACTGCTAGTCTGGTTTCCTGGTCTTAGCTGGTTTAGCCGGTCTCCCAGCCAAGCCAAGTTGATGTTTAGCTTGGCTGAAAAGTGTCCAAAACCAGCCCACAGACCAAATAAGCCCTCAAACCATCTTAGACTGGTTTAAACTAGTTTTTCAGCAGAGTTGTGGAGAAAGAAATCCATGCTTTGGCTCCTGGCATACAGGTCACACCTTCACGAAACCTTCAAAGTCTTTCAACTATTATACAGTCGTCTCGCTCTTCCATACCCTGCTCTTCATACCAACCGAACCCTGTGATTGGTCAGTTCCGCTAGTGTCCAATTCCACCACGGATCCCTTTAGTGTTCCATTTGGCGCTGACACTGTCGTCAACGAGGCTGTCGTAGTGACATTTGATGCCACGTTTAGAGGGAACGAGCTCTGCTTGGACTCTCTCTCAGCCGTGACGGCCAGTTTAAGATTGTCTTTGCTAGCGCTGGGCCGTTGAGTGTTCTGCTGCGTGGCGGACCTGCTTGCCACCGAAGGCAACAGGGGAAAAGGTTTTCTACTTCCACTGCTACCTCCATCACTACCTTCCGAAGGGCTCGTCGCTAGTCCCTCCCCTCTGTGCCGCCCATTGGTCAGAAGGCCGTTCTGACCCTCTGAATGGCTATTCCGTAGACTTCCATTCTCACTGGAAGCGTGTTTGTGTAGCTGGTGGATGTTTGATTGCTCTGTCCCAGAAGGTCCCAAAGCGCCCATGCTACCTCCTCCACCCGCTCTGAGAGCTTTAAGGCGGTAGTGCCCTCTCCCGTCCCCTCGGTGATGGTATTGAGTATTGCCACCCCTAGTTCTACTGCAAGCCTTCCTTCTTTGAGGCTGCTGGATGGGCAGTAGACTGGGTAGCAGATTGTTGGCCGGCTTGTTGTTCTCCGTGCTCGTGCTTGTGTTGGTATTAGTTCCCGTTTGCGCTCGGGCAGCATTATTCACGTTGTCCTGTGTCACTTGAAGGAGGTTGGTGAGTTTGCAAGGCCCGGCGGCAATGCTCGTCGTCCCACTTTGAGTAGAAGACGACCTGGCAGAAGAAGACAAATTGTTGGTGTCCGTCAGCGGATGGCATCCTACAAAAAGTTGGGAGCCCCTTTCCGAGGAACTCTGGACGCCTACGGTGGCAGTGCAAGGGTGGGAATAAGCTGGCATGGGTTGGGAGCGACGGTACCTGGGGCAACAACTTAGCCACGCTGCCTGGACATCCAAACGCTTGAAACAGTGATGGAGCACCAAGAAGATCCCTAATCCGGTAGCCGTTCCTCCATACAGGCAGCTGAAGAGTTTCCGCTCTCTATCCACATGCCAAACAGCCATAGCGCCGCAGCACCACAGCCCCACAAACACAAACTGTGTTGCCACCAGCGCCAAACACTGGACCTTCAATGAATACTGGTCCTCCACCGTCGTCCCAGCATGCACCGGGCCCACCACAGAGTCCGTCGAGAGCAGGCTGGTGCTGCCACTGATTGCCGGTTGGCTCTCAGGCAAGGTTGAGGGTTCGGAGGCGGAACAAGGAGGATCTTTGGACTCCTGGAAGTTTCGGCGCCTCAGGCAGAAAGCAGTGCACAGGAAGTAGATCCAGGTCACAAGAATGATCAATCCAGCTGGAATGTAGAAAGCTCCGAAACTGGGTTGCCATACCAACCAGCAGCTGCCGAAAGGTCAAGAGCAGTGAAAAAGGTCAGAGAGGGCAAAGGCGGTAATTAGTCAAATAACAGAAACACAAAGCAAGCTCTGTACAAAACGGACACTTTTTAAAGAGCCTGTAAGGGAGTGGCCCAGCATGTCTAACAAATCTGCAACAAGTATCAGACAGTTAGTGAAAGAACAGAAGCTAATAAAAAACTCAAAGTATGAGCTCAGACGATTTTATTTTTATATTAAGTGTCGCCAGTCTATCTGTAAGACTGTAATGTGACAAAAAAAAACATAAAATTTATAACAACAATATCATTGTGAAAGGCCTAATTACTGAATGATTTGCAGTACTGTCTCATAAATAACAAACACTGAAATTAAATCTCTTTGGGGGATTTGGGTTAATCTTTTCCACATGTTTCTCATGAAATGCATGTTTTGCTTATCACTCATTATGTTTTAAGTCAGAATGCATGTCAACATATGTACTAACATATGCAAAAGCAAATATTTATAAAAAAGTATCTATCATATGGTTGTGACAGAAAATAAATTATGTGTGTGTATACTATCTATTAAAAGTTTGGGATCAGTAAGATTTTAATGTTTTTTACGAAGTTTCTTATACTCATCACGGCTGTATTTATTTGATAAAAAATACAGAAAAACAACTGTAATTCTGTGAAATATTATTGCAATTTAAAATAACAGTTTCAATTTTAATATATTTCAAAATATATTTTATTCCTGTGAAGAAAAAAGCTGAATTTTCAGCATCATTACTCCAGTCTTCAGTGTCATATGATCCTTCAGAAATCATTCCTAAAATGCAGATTTTTTTTAAATCAATGTTGGAAACAGTTGTAGTGCTTCATATTTTGGGGAACCATGTGATACTTTTTTCAGGATTCTTTTATAAATAAAAAATTATAAAACAGCATTTATTCAAAATAGAAATCTTGTGTTACAATATATACAGTGTACTACTGTTTTTTTAAAGTACTTTTATTCAGCAAGAATGTGTTAAATGGATAAAAAGTGATAGTAAAGACTTATATTGTTAGAAATTATTTGTATTTTAAATAAATGCTGTTCTTTTTAACTTTTTATTCATCAAAGAATCCTCAAAAAGTATCACAGGTTCCAAAAAAATATTAAGCAGCAGAACTGTTTTCAACATTGATTATAAATCAGTATATTAGAATGATTTCTGAAGGATCACGTGACACTGAATACTGGAATAATGATGCTGAAAATTCAGATTTGCATCACAGAAATAAAAGACATTTTAAAGCATGTTAAAACAGCAAACCAATATTAGAAATTGAAATATTTCAGAATATTACTGTTTTTTCTGTATTTTTGATCAAATACAGCCTTGATGAGCATAAGAGACTCCATTAAAACATTAAAAATCATAATGATCCCAAATATATATATATATATATATATATATATATATATATAAATGAAACTGTATAAATAATATATACTGTAAATATAAATAGTTAGAAATGTTGCTATTGTTGCTAAAGTAATGACAGGTAAACCTGTGGAATGTTCTTTGACCTATATATCAAGAATCAGTGATTTAAAGTTAGCATTATTTAGGCTGTTAATAGTATAAACATTTAAAACTAGACAAGAGCAAACTAGTTTTCCTAATGTTTTAAAACTCAGTACTCACTAAGGAATGTTGTCTCCATAGTTATTGATGTTTACAGCTGCAGTGATACCACATATGATGAGTGGGACCCCGCCAGCTATCAAATAAAATCTATTGAGGGAAACAGAGATAGAGAAAAGAAAACTGTTAGTGGTCAAGTGCTAACCATGTTAACATTTTAATCATATTAAAAAGTACTGCAAAGATAGAAATAATGGATAGCCTATCCTTTTACTGTTGTGTTGCCAAGGTGGATACAAAATATGATACAAAAAAATGATCAAAAATTTTAATGTGCGTAATGCTACTGTCTGCTATATTTGCTACAGATGTTCTCATTGGCCTTTGCCTTTTGCTTGGCGTAAAAAACTTTGTGTGGTCTATGCATTAGGCAGTTCTGTGTCACTGTCTGTCAATGAAGAGCCAAGTCTGGGCTCCAGACAGTGTAGGAGAGAGGGGAAATATAACAGGATTTATCCCAGGAGGCAGGCGTGGGATCTGGCCAGACCTCCCCAGGGGATGTGGAGAGCACGGAGGTCTAGGGTAAAAACAGAGAACACAGACTAGAGGGAATGAATATATTTGCATGCATGTCTCTGAGGACATGTGAAAGTTAGCCTTAACTAGACCTATCCCTCGTTTGATTTATAACTTCTCTGTCCACTTTTATCTTTTTCCATTCCCCCATTGGCTCTCGTTTTCCTCTGTCTGGCTCTCCATAACAGCAGAATCAGCTTTTATCTGGACAATGGAGGTCTTTGATTAGTTATTACATCATGGTGGTCCATTCAGTTGCTCTCAAAAGCCCATTTTGCTCCTGTACACGCCTATCAATAGTTTCTACTCAGGAAGTGCTAATTCAATATGACATTTGCCCATAAAACTGTCAATGTTTCAGACCGATTTGAGATATGACAGCTGCTCTGAATACTGCAAAAGTTTTGATGGAACCCATACGCTTCCTTTTAAGATGATGACAAGAAACTTTTAATGTCGTCATCAAATGTGATGTTCACACCGTTACAACTTATAGACTTTCAAACTGTATCGTTTCTTAAGAATGAACTCTGAATGTAAAAGGGATATTTGCACGACCTGTCTGTTATAAAACGCACATATTCAGATGCAAGGACAAGGGATTCTGTTGTGGGACGAAACCAGTTTCAAGATCCCATCCCCCACTGAATCATATGCACCTTCCTCAAAGCCTGATCAAACTGTAGTGTGTTACAGTGATATCTAGCTAATTGAAAGAGCTTTTTTAACCAATTAGCATTATGCTAAGCTAGTATGCTAAACTGTTACCTTGCTAATCGAAGGATAAGTGAAACTTCTGACTGCAGTGGTGTTTATTAAAAGTAGCTAATCCAGCCTAGAATTATCTCTTAGGTGTTTGGACAAAAACACTGAAATTTCTCATTTGGACGGCAATAAAAAGGCCAACTTGTTTTACCTCATGTCCCTATGTAAAACAAATACAGTCCAAATAGGCCTATTGATTGGATTACAAAGAATTTTTGTTCTGTGAGGGTTTTATGGGCACTGGGGCCATATTATAGAGAAAAAACAGGTATCTAAGAGTTTAAGTGTGCTTGCAAAAGATACATTTCGAAAACAACCTGTTATTAATCATCTAACGCTTCCAGCCATCCATTATGACTTAACTGACCTGAGCATGGGTCGCTGGGTTGGTTGTACAGCAGACTCTCCTTCTAGTTGCTGTGGAGTCCTTAATAAGGCTTCTTTATAGATGACTCTGGCACTGACTCCGATCCATAACAAAGTGGACAGAGAAGAGTAGTGAAGAACAATCCCCACCTGACACAAACGTGTAAATACATGAGTAAAACAAGTAACACAAGTAGAGTAACAATACATTAGTGCATAGAAAAGAAAATATCAGATAATATTTTAATCTGTAGCTAATGTATTTTTTTAGTACAATGCTAAATAAAAGTTAGTTTATGGATTTTGTCTTTATTATTATTTTTCTTTACTGTTTTGCATTTATATTTTGTACATTCATGCATTGTTTGCTTGTGAAACGACCTCGAAAAGCTTGGAAAGGCGCTTAAAGGGATAGTTCGCCAAAAATAAATACATAAATCCAAAGAGAAACAAAGAAAGAAAGAAAGAAAGAAAGAAAGAAAGAAAGAAAGAAAGAAAGAAAGAAAGAAAGAAAGAAAGAAAGAAAGAAAGAAAGAAAGAAAGAAAGAAAGAAAGAAAGAAAGAAAGAAAGAAAGAAAGAAAGAAAGAAAGAAAGAAAGAAAGAAAGAAAGAAAGAAAGAAAGATGACCTCGAAAAGCTTGGAAAGGCGCTTAAAGGGATAGTTCGCCAAAAATAAATACATAAATCCAAAGAGAAACAAAGAAAGAAAGAAAGAAAGAAAGAAAGAAAGAGAAAATTCTGTTTAAAATTCCTAATTAATTCATTTATTCACCCTCAAGTTGTTCTAAACCTTTATGACTTGCTTTCTTCTGTAAAACAAAAAAGAGGATATTTTAAAGAACGTGGGTAACCAAACAGTTGATGGTAGCCATTGACTTATTTTTTTCCATTCTATGCAAGTCAATGGCTACCAGCAACTGTTTGTTTGCGAACATTCTTCAAAATATATTTTTTGTGTTTAACAGAAGAAAGCAAGTCATACAGGTTTGAAACCAATTAAAGTAGAGTAAATAATAATAAAAAAAATAATTTTTGTCATTTTCATTTTAATAAAAAAACGTATTATGTAAGAGAAATGGGGACTTACTGCCTGGCATACAACTGGGTATCCTGTCAGAGTGATGCCTCCAGCAAATACTGCAGAAGTCATTGCGATGTGGAAACTAATGTTCAGGAGAGTGTGCCAACTCTTCCTTGTGATTCTGATAGAGCTGATGGCAGAAAAAGAAAAGCCAATTTCATATGGATGTCCACTTCTAATTTAACATGTTCAAAGTAATAACAAATCGTGCAATGACAGAATTGTGTTACCTTGTAGAAACAGTTTGCAGGACCGTATTCTTTTAGTTTTTGAGTTTTTGGGTGTACTGACATACATTTGGCAATGTAGTCTATGTTTTCAGTCTCAGAATTGTCACATTTTAACAAAGTGAGACAAATACCTGTGATGTAATATATATGTGATGATGATGGTGAAGAGACAGAGGAGCAGCACTGCAGTACAGGTGTAGATCACTGGATGGAGCACTTCCACTGGAATCAAAGGTGAACCCGGGAAATCTGGCATCTCCTGAAACATTGACAGGGAAAATGGAGAGAATCTTTTAAAAACGTCATATATATGACTTCATAGCCGAGCTATAACTCTAGGACACCTAAAAAAAAAGATTAGGTGTAAGAAATGCCACTTTTTTTGGTTTAGATGCCATCTTCTACATGTTTCACAACTCTTGAATCTTGTTCTGTCCAGGCTGGACTATTGCAATGCTCTCTTGGCAGGTCTTCCAGCCAGTTCAATCAAACCTTCACAATTAATCCAGAACGCGGCAGCAAGATTAATTTTGAATGAGCTGAAAAGAATGCACGTCACACCTCTGTTTATCAGTTTGCACTGGCTACCAATAGCCGCTCGCATAAAGTTCAAGGCATTAATGTTTGCCTACAAAACCACCACTGGCTCTGCACCCCTTTACCTAAATTCATTACTTCAGACTTATGTGCCCTCAAGAAGCTTGCGTTCTGCAAGTGAACAATGAATTATTGTGCCATCCCAAAGAAGCACAAAATCACTTTTACGGACTTTTACATTAAATGTTCCCTCCTGGTGGAATGACCTGCCCAACTCAATCCGAGTCCTTAGCCATCTTCAAGAATTGGCTAAAAACACATCTCTTCCATCTTTATTTGACCCTCTAACTCTAGCACTCTCTATTCTAATTCTATTCTTAAAAAAAACAACAACAACAACTTGTCCCTTTTACACTTTTGCACTCTATTCATTTACTGCTTGTTTTCTTACAAAAAAAACAAAAACAACTAACACTAGCTTTTCAAATCTTTTTGTATTCTATCTATTTGTTTTCTTTTTATTTATTATACAATTAACAAAAGCAAAAAAGACTTCTAACACTAGATTGCTCTATTCTTTTTCTATTCTATCTGTTTTCTTTTTCTTTTTTTATGTTATATAATTAAAAAAACACCTTACTACGTGTACTGCGTTAAGCTAACTGAGACTTGTTGTAACACTTGCATATCATTGCTCTTTTGTTGATTTTGATTGCTTACATTGTCCTCATTTGTAAGTCGCTTTGAATAAAAGCATCTGCTAAATGACTTAATGTAAATGTAATCTTTTAGGCCAATATTGCTGATATCGATAGTAACAAATGGAATTAAACATTTAACCAAACTGAAAATTTTTGTGAGGAAAAATGGATAAATAGCTATTTAAATATAGCCATTTCTTCTCATAAAAAAGGTTAAGAGAAATTGCTCTGATGCCATTTTTGTGAATTATGGGTTCTTCAGTGCTAAAAAGTTTCAACCAATGGCCAAGATAGCCCATCTATTACCAAATTACCTCAATAACAAAAACAGTGTTGGACCTAGCTGAACATTACAATCCTTTGACGCATGTCATGATGAAAAAATGTTGCATAAAATATCAGTTTGTAATAGGAGACCTATCCTCCTCAAGTAAAGGACTGACTATACAGTATCTCTCTACTAAGCGCAGGCAGTAAAGGTTATCTTATTAACTAGATAAAACCAACCACATCCAGGCTATTAATCAAGCTGACAAACTTTGCACTTGGTTAGCAACTACGCAACTGAATGGATAAATAATAACACTGATGTATTTTAGACATTCCATTTCATTTTATCAGTGGCTCTGTTCCAAAACCTATTGAGCTGCCTTGATGTTTACTTCCTACATTTCAAGGCAACATCATAACGGTCATAAAACCTAATACTTGACTTGACATAACAAGCAACCCAACATATCACTCATTTAGTGATTTGTGCAGAAGACTGGACTCGTGATTGAATCCAATGGTGCATGGTGTTAGCATCCTTTTTTTACTGATTTAACATTTTTGAGGTCTGACTGAAATTTAATAAAAAAAATTGAAATATACAATTGACATTTCTCTTGCATTGTTGGACATCTTAGATGTAGTTTTTCACAGAGCTCAGCGCAATGCATTTTGGGATCCTCCATGAAGGATATGTGAGATGTTGGCCTTGAAAAAATATCTCTTAGGAGGCATCAAAATTACAATACCCACAGCAGGTCATATCTGTATTTTATAAAGGTGTCACCTGAAGTACAGCGTAATTGCTCAGCACAGAGCAGTGCAGCGTAGAGGTGGATGCATCACTATGGGCCAGCTGACAGCCATCCAGACTCCAACTCCCATGATGCTCCAGCGCCTGTAAGCTCCAGTGGGCAGCAACAGGGTCATTTCCAGGTGATGTGTGTCGTAGTGACACAATAATGGGATCGGACTGATTCCACATGCTACAACCATCTGAAAAAGAAGGAGAGAGAGAGAAAGCAGGAAAGTTTACATCTGTGCTCTGGTAAAAGTTCTTTAGATTTACTGTTCTGATTTGAATATTTTATGAGTCCAAGGATGAATCCTGTTGGTCTTCTCCCAAAATGCCTTTACTACATCAGTATACAACCAGCTACTGAGAGCATTGTAAAAATTTGATGAATGTTTTTAATCCCTTGAATGTTCGAGCTGAAGGCAACCCACCAAGGTCAACGTAGATAACTGGAGTGTTGATGCCACGTCTGCGGGCAAGGTCCGAATGTCCTGTGAAATTGCTGGTAAATGGGAAGAATCTTCCATTGCGGAATGCCACAAACTGCAGCTTACAGTCAGGAGGAGCGTTCGGTGGAAAAAGAGACGCAGGGAGAGACACTGAAGCAAGAGCCACTGCATTCTAGAGAGAGAAACACAAGAAAAAATAAGGGCCAAACAAAAGCGGTATATTTAAGTGATTTTACCATGTCTAAATGGCTTGTTTTTACATGTATAAAACAGCAGTAGTAGCAATATGATACCAATGATTAAGACAATAAACAATTTTTAGGCAACACAAAAACACACTTTTCCCCCCGTAACACAAAAAGCTTCCCTTTGTGAAAAAGAAGCACACTTTAGCGTATTTTTAAAAGGAGTACTTATTATGGATACAATATACTTATACTTGAGTGCGAAATTAATGTAATGATTTCAGGCCCTAAACTGACCTAGTAAAAAAGTAATATATTTAAAATACATTTATTTCATAAAATAAATGCTTGGGACTTACTGATATAAAATTATTGCATGGGAATACCGATATAAAAATTATTACTTGGGACTTACTGATATAAAAATGATAATTAAACTTTATTTGGAGTACTACTTGTGCACAATGTACTTAATATTAAGCCTAAAATGTGTTTTAATGTCAGTACTGATGAGGATTGTATGATCTTTAGATAATATCAGTCTTTAAATGCAAGATATTTAAAGTGTACCTGAAGTATACTTGCAATAGTTCCACTTTAGCACATTTAAATGTACTTCAGTATATCTTTAGTTGGACTTCAGCACAACTTCCAAACAATTAAAGTGCATTAAGTACAAAATTAGTTGTTACAATTTAGCAGACTTTGTTTACCAGTTTAGTATACTAACAGTACAATTGCAGGGTATTTTGATTAAGTACATAAATATGTAAATGTATTTGTAGTATACTTAGCACAAAATAAATCTATTTCAAATACATTTCAGTATATTTACTTTTCACTAGGGTGCATCCCAATTGCAATTAGATAAAAATTATTTTTAATTTTAATTTATATGAATTGCAATGAGTTTAACCCCCCCCCCCCCCCACAATAATACCATATGTTTCCTAACAGACTTTTTAAAAGTGCATTTTGTGATGTCAAATGTAAAAAGTATGTGCATTTGAAATCATTTTTAATAATTGTTTGTTACTAAAGGACATGTAAAGTACTTCATTAATATTTTAAGTGTAGTGTGTGATTTGATTTAAAAACAATATATTATGATTGTGCTAAATTGCAATTTCATTTTTTAAATGTGTAGCTACAAATGCATTTAAATACATAACATACACGTTTCAATAGAAATGACACAAAAGTATGTTTTAAGCATTTTAGTTGACATAAATGCTTGTCAGTACATTCGGCAGTACACTTTAACCATATTTCAAAAACAACATAAGTAATAATAATGTATCACATATAACTTAAATCTTTAAGTTCTACTTAATTGGGTTAGTAAACACTTTTAAGCCCAATTGCATTCAATATAAATTTAAACTATAAAGATTTTTAATTTAATTGCAATGCACATGCAGTCAGCATTCAAATTACACGTAAGTGCATTCTTGTAAAGTATATTATTTCAGTAATAAATACTCTTTTAAAAAGAATGCTAAAGTGTACTTCTTTTTCACAAGGGGGAGCTTTAAATGCCTTACATATTAGTAATTTGCATCACACTTGACGAAAAAAAAACTGTTTTAAAAAAAACAAGACTCTAGCTGGAATGTCACTAACCAGTATGAAGGTATGCAGGACCCGTGTGATGTCATTAGTATAGAGGCACTGAGAGTAGTCTCCCTCCTCCCAGCGTCCAGAGCGGTCACAGTTACGTGACGCCTTCTTCTGCTCCACGCCGCCTCCTATAGTTAAGGAGGGATAGCGCAGCTGCAGACAGTGCTGGTAGGAGGTGATGCCAGCCAGAGTTCTAGGCCACCTGAGGCCAAAGAGGTTAAACAGATGACATAATGCCAGACTTTTCTAGATAAGCATTATTAAGCCTCAGGTGAAGCTGTAGAACAAGTCGCTTACCTGAACTCCCCTCTGTTGTTAGTCACTCTCTGCTCCGGACAGAAGGAGGCGCTGTTCTCCAGTACCACTATCTCCACACTGCGCGAGGCGTTCCCACGGCCTGTGGACACCACACACTCCCACTCACCACTCGCCTCGATGTGGACGTTTGACAGGATCAGCTCACTAAAAATGAACAGAACGCTATACCGGTAATGATTTTTCTGACTCAATAATGTTAACCTGGTCTTTCTATCCTTTTCAGGTCAGTGCCATGGCTCATTTTTTATATTTTCCCCCATTTTAATCCAATTTCTTTTGTTCACTTTATATCTCTTTTAAATCTCTTAGTCCATCTGTTTTATTTAGTCTCATTTCTTCTTTTCACCTCTTGTCGCTTGGACTTTTCTCTTCCCTTGCGCATACACTTTTTGCACAAAAATATTAAGCAGCACAACTGTTTTCAGCATTGATGATAAGAAATGTTTCTTGATCAGCAAATCAGCATATTAGAAGGATTTCTGAAGGATCATGTGACACTGAAGACTGGAGTAATGATGCTGAAAATTCAGCTTTGCATTATAGGAAAAAAATACATTTTAAAATAGAAAACAGTTATTTTAAATCACAATAATATTTCACAATATTACTGTATTTTTAATCAAATAAATGCCTTGGTGAAAAGAGACGTCTTTCAAAAAACATAAAACAATCGTAATTATTCAAGACCAGCAGTGTACAATATAGGGGTGTCCCCGACTAAGGATTTTCATAGTCGAATCGGAATTTTCGAATCTTGCCAATATTCGACTGATAGTCGAATCATATGTTTTGGGGGCGGGGCAAAATACATTACCAAGAGTCAAGTCAGACATTCGACAGTCATAATTACGTTAACACACAGGGGAAATGTGTAACAGACGCCTCGCAGATACAAACGGGGTAAATAATGCTTTATGTTTTGATTAAAAGATAGTTAACATTAAACGTCAGCGAAACCCTAAGAATTCACACCATTTTTTACAATATTGCTCTCATTATCACGTATATGACAGTAGTTATTAATGTTCTGCATTCCTGTTTTGAGCCGCACATGCTGAAGATGACCAGTAGAATGAAGCAGCAGGTTTTTAATTAATGAGATTTAACTCATCATTTATCTCATATAGAATACGCTTCGTTATTTACTCAACTGTATAGGCTGTATACTAACTTATTGGGAGAAAACCGGTAGTTCTATGGGGCTTCCATATTAAACTGATCAAAAGTGACAGTATGTTACGAAAGATTTCTATTTCAAATTGATGCTTTTCTTTTAAACTTTCAAATTCATCAAAGAATCCTGAAAAAAATAAAAGTATCACATTTTTTCTCATGATTTCTGAAGGATCATGTGACACTGAAGACTGGAGTAATGGCTGCTGAAAATTCAGCTTTGCATCAAAGGAATAAGTTACATTTTAAAATATATTCAAAGAATTTTTTTTTTTAAATAGTCATAATATTATACAATATTACTGTTTTGATCAAATTAATGCAGCCTTGGTGAGTACACTCTTAAAAATAAAGGTGCTTCACGATGCCATAGAAGAACTTTTTTGTCTAAATGGTTCCATAAAGAACCTTTAACATCTGAAGAACCTTTCTGTTTCACAAAAGGTTCTTTGTGGCGAAAAAAGGTTCTTCAGATCATAAAAATCTCGTAAGAAAGAGATGGTTCTTTAAAGAACCTTTGACTGAATGGTTCTTTGTGGAACCAAAAATGGTTCTTCTATGGCATCGCTTGAAGAACCTTTTGAAGCACCTTTATTTTTAAGAGTGTATGAGATTTTTGTTAACTCCAGACTTCAGAACAGCACTGTACGTCATGAGTTTTTGAAATATTTGCATTAAAATTTAACAATATCTGTGAAGTGCAGATATAGATTATTTTGCTTGTGTATTCTAACAAGGTCTCCTGCTGTTCTTATTCTGGCCCTTTGTGTTGTGGGCATTATGTGTAAGGAGATTAGGCCTTCAATTTTCCATGGATCAGAAATGATTTCTGTGTTTTCATCTGTTTTCATCTTTAGTCCTAATAGACTGCATTGCTAGACATCTCTTTTGTTAATAACTGATGCAAATTCAATCGTATTCTCTGTCGCACACAAGTAGCAGGAGGTGTAAGAAAGCTCTTTGTGTGTTTTGTTGCCGTGTAATCATTCAAAATCAGCTTTTCTTGTGAAACAGCCTGGGTGAATCAGTCCCTTGTCGAGGACTGAGGATATGTATTCACAACTGCAAACCCACAGAGGGATCTTTCCTAGTCGGTCACAGCTATGTGCTTCTGGCCAACATAAATATGTTTAAGGGCAGCAGAGGAAGAGATGGCGAAATGAGCTGATATTAAAACAGTAACAGGAGCCCCGGTTTGAGGCCCAAGACTCTGAAAAATGCAGTGCATGTCTACCAGAAAGATGAGTTGAGGTTTAACAGAAAGTCACTGAGAAATTCAGTCAGACCCCTGTGGCAAAAGTCAGAGAAATAGGGAATTGTTCAGCAAATATACTTGATCTTAGCTGGCTAAAACACAAGGTTTGACTAACACTGCAATTCAGCCAAAATACCAAAACTGATCAAAGACTAAGAAGTTGTTGTCACTGATAAATTATGCAAGTTTCAATACTGAATACTTTTGTTTCGGGAAGTTGCCACAAGGGCTACATCATAATAAGGGTTTGAGTCAAAAGTCCAATAAAACCCTTATTATAATAATAATAATCAGTATTATTATTATTATTAATAATAATAAAAACCATAAAGAATAATTGTTAATGTTACAATAAATAATGTGATGATAATAATAATAATGTATGTCCTTCACAGTCAAATTAAAATAGTCATATTCAAATTGTCACATGTAAATAAAATATTTTTATAGATTTATTTTGTTTAAAACAAAGCTATAGCTGAATTAAAAAATAATAATTTTCAATACTAGAAATTTCATCAGGAAGTTGCCACAAGGACTATATTAACTATAAGTTTAAGTCTAATAAAATCCTCTTAATAATAATAATAATATTTTTTTTTTCTGTCCAAAACAATGGTTTACTTCCCCCCTATCCTATACACTAAAATATATATAGAGCATGTGTTTATAAGTAAATATGTTGGCGTAAATTCCATTCAGATGTGCAAACTGTATGTAAATAATTGAACATGATATTGTATAAGATTGATAGTGATTTTGCTCACCACAGCTGAGGTCAGTCTCTCTCAGGAGACGCAGGGGTTTGTTTTGAAGTCTTCTGGGATACGCACACAGTGTTTCGTCCCCAAGCCGAGCAGAACTGCTGTGGAAAAAGCCTGGGACCCAGCGCAGACCGCAGTCACATGACAGGAACTCAGAATGAAAGTTCCTAATGAGCACACAATTGGAGGTAAGAATTAGATAAAGCTTCTTGTTCAGAAGAAGACTGTCCATTTATTTGTGTAATTAAACACATTTAGTATTTCCTAAACCTCAACGGAATGAATTAAGAAACTGTACTTGTCATTTAATACAAAGACATTTACACATTTTAAGTGACTTTTTAGGTCTACTTTTTGTCATGTTAAAGAGTTAATCATGAGCCTAATGGTGACAGGAACTGGGTGAGATCAGAAATATTCACCAAAGCTGCATTACAGGGTTATCCTGTCATACTTGATAAAGAATAGGTTTCATTTAATAGCAGTTAAACCATTTCTAGGAAATATAGTTGTGGCTTATAGACAGATATCTTAGTTTTGTTCATTGTAAAATTATCAAAAAATCACTGACAAATTGGCATGCTAGAAATCCCAGGATTACATCTCTTTCTGTACAAAAAATGAGCATGTGCACCATGAGAACATTCACTTTAACTCACAGCAGCTTTAGAGAGTGTAACTCCATAAACAAATGTGGATCCAGAGAGGAAAAGATGTTTCCAGAGATGTTTCTATAATATAAGAACACAAATGAAACATTTTGCAATTCTTAAATATGACAAGAACATTATCAAATGCATCATTTGCAACAGATGCTGTGTGTATCCTTATCAAACATATGTTACTCTGTATGGCGCAGCAACACTTTCAAGAGCGCTACTGATCTTCTGTGTTTTTGTATTCCAATAAATATATGTTTCAGAAATAATGACTTACAATTTTGTGAGGTTGGTAAGTCCCTGGAACACTTCTGAGGTCAGGCAGCCAATTCGGTTACTGGATAGGTCACTGTACAGATTACAGTAAATCAGATGCATTGTTATTCTGTGTTCCAGTTTTAGCAAGCATATGGATCTGTGCTTCAGAACTTAGGAAAATACTTCATCATGCAGCAATCATTATACAGTGATCAATGATTCACACTTTGAAACTGTAGCTTTTTAAACTACTTTAGTTCAATTACAGTCAAGGTACTATACACCACAGGCTATACATATATGTTATGCTCACCAAGGCTATATTTATTGGCTGAAAAATACAGTAAAACCAGTAATATTGCAAAATATTATTAAAATGTAAAATAACTGTAAATAAACTTTTTATGTAAATAAAAAATTCTTTTAATATATTTAAAAATGTAATTTATTCCTGTGATTCAAAACTGATTTTTCAGCATCATTACTCCAGTCTTCAGTGTCACGTGATCCTTCAGAAATCATTCTAATATACTGATTTGCTGATCAAAAAACATTTCCTATTATTATCAATGCTGAAAATCATCTTCGCTCGCTAAATATAGCCTTGGTGAGCATAAGACACTTAATTTATTCTACATTTTGACTGGTATTATGACTGACTGACTGATTTAATTTACAAAACTCAATTTGTTTCAATGTGTGGAAGAGTAGAAAAAGTACTATAACAGGTACTATAACATGCTCCACTATCAATTCATGTGTTTTATTTAAATTAATTGTTATGTGAAACCAAATTCACTTCCTTCTGCTTAAAAAGTACATTTGAACTGTTAAAAATAAATGTTGTTAATGAAAACACATTCATGCTTTAATTGCAGATTAAGTGTCTACATGTTTTGAAGCAACTGTACATGTTGGAAAAATTTGTTTTGATTTAAAGGAAAAAATACTTTGCATTATGAACAACTGAGCTACTGTCACACTACTGAAAAATGCAGTTAAGTTAGTAGAATCGCTACATTTAGTTAAGTACTTATTAGTGCTGCCAAACGATTAATCGCGATTAATCGTATCCACAATAAAAGTTTTTGTTTACATGATATATATATATATATATGTGTGTATGTGTACTGTGTATATTTATTATGTATTTATAAATACACACACATGCATGTATACAGTATATTTAAGAAAAATATGTTATGTTTATATATCAAATATATGTATATATAATATAAGATTATAAATATATAAATGTATATCCATGTAAATATTTTCAAAATATATACTGTATGTGTGTGTATTTATATATAAAAATAAATATACACAGTACACACACATATATTATGTAAACAAAAACTTTTATTTTAGATGCGATTAATCGCGATTAATCGTTTGACAGCACTAGTACTTATATAAATATATGTTTTATTTCAATGTCCCAGCCCAGTATTACATTTGCCCCAAATCACACTCTATGAATTGACACTCAGTTTGAAAAAAATAAAACTCTTTAATTAAGGGGCCGTTCACACGAAACACATATTTGCATCTAAAAATGCGAGACGCAGCGCTCAGGAATGTTTTTTTTTTAAATCGCAGTGCAGAATGCCTCCTCCACCATACTGCCGTCAAATAAAACAATTGCAATTCCAAAATGCTACTGTAAACAAAAATTCACAACGCGTGCCCCACCTTCAGGGTTTTCTGATTGGTTCACGGTTCTGGAACTGACATTGATGAGCGGAAATTCTTTTAACTTGACACTCTTTAAAAGTCTTAAAAACGCAGGGCTCATGTGCGAGACGCTGCAAAAGATGCAAACACAACGGTCATACATGTCCATCTAGCGTGTGTTTTCATTGAAAAACAATGGAAAAGTAGTGCATTGGAATGGAAAATCGTGTGAACGGCCCCTAACAGTTAAACAGTTTTGCAAGTGAAAGTTAACCGGTGTCCTGTTATAATAACTGATTATGATTTTAAGGTGTACTTACAGTTTTCGAAGAGCTGTGAGACCCAGAAAGGCTCCAGGCATGATGGTGCTGATCAAGTTATTCCTGAGATCCCTGAGAAACAGACAAACACAGAGACCTTTGAGCAGATCGACTTACATGTACTCTAACTGATATATTTGAGTAGATTTCCCATGGATTACACTCTTCTGTGTTAGTTTAAAAAGCAACCCTTGTTTCTACATTTGAGCAATAAATGCTATTTTTGCCTTCGTTTACTGTACTTAATATACTAAAACAGATGAATACATATGTACATGTGCTTCGAAAGAAAAGAAAGTTACATGTCTGTGTATGCTGACCATTACTGGAGTCCAAAAACAACCAGTTCATATCAGCATAAAATAACATGAAATAAAATATGGAACACATTTTATACGCCTTTGACCACAAGACCCTTTCCCTGCCTTCAACATAGTTTACTTTGTCCTGTCTCTGTTCGAGAAAGAAAGAGATTTCCTGCATTTTTTGAACCATACCTCAAACCACACCTGGTCTCAAAATGGAGGCAGATCCCCCAAGCAGAGAAAACAGACACACATCACAGGAGAAAGTGGAGATGCTCTCTTTAAACAGTGGAGGCGTTTAAAGTGATTCTTCCCACAGAGAAGTTACACCTTCACTAGTCAAACCGTAAATATTCATTTCCAGCTTTGAAGGTAGTGTTTCATGCTGCCTCTGTCCTGGTCCAGATCTCTGTGTTTGCTTTTGTCCATGTGTTAAAGCACTTAGCAGCATATTCGGTCATCAAAATATGGATTCATACGCTTAATACTGACGTTTGATTTTAAAATCATGTTTTTTTATTGGCCATGAGGGTATTTTGAGGATGATAAGGGTCGACTCAAGTTTCATAATAGCTCAACATTGTTTCAGCATCCTCAAAACAAGAGCACAGAATATTTTTTTAGAGATTACACCATCTTTAAAAGTTACATTAAAAACTGTGCATTAAGAAAATTAACAGGATCTATTTTAATTTCATGCAAACTTTAAATCAAAACATGTAAAATACTTATTCCCTGCAGTTCCCCATCACTGTTCTGAGATTTATTCATTGATTCTGATTACATTACATTAAGCTTAGACAGTACATTAGATTCAATACGTTTTACATAAAATATTTATATTTATTATAAAATATAGTGTGCTTTATACATATGCTAACATAAAAAAAAAATATATATATATAGCATGCAAACATAACAATATAATTATATGTAACATTTTATATATACACATTATATGCATATATTTTCATATGTATATGTATTATTATAATTTAGGTTGTAGCCTTTTTACTAAATGTGAAGAGTTTATTTGCAAAAAAACAGATAACTCAATTTGTCTAATTTTCAAAAATCATGTTTTTTATTATGTTAGCATGTTTTTATTGTGTTTTATTGTGTTAGTTAGCTGTATTTTTTTTGTTTTGTTATTTTTTAACCTAATCAAAATAATCCAACTGCAGTTTGATTGAGATTAATTGGAATGCACAATGAAAACAAACTCTTCATGTACTGAATTGATTATGTGGCTAATATTGAACCAAAACAAACAATCCACCAATCAATCATCCTCTCTTTCCTAATGTCCTTCATCCATGAAGCTCTATCATAACTACAGCAAACAATGCCGCAGCATGATATCATGTGCTGAATATAAACATGAACATTACACAGCTTGATAACAGATATGCTGTATATATTTGCAGGGAACCAAGACATTAACACCGGCTTGACAGAATGGCCTGTCACATCTGTATGGCCTACTGAGTGCTGCATGATTGACACATTAATAGCTATCAGAGCCAATATACGGAGAGAAGCGGAGGGGAAGAAGATGAGAAAGTGACTGCAGGAGAAAGTTACGCGCCATTAAATACACACGCTTGAATTCCTGTGACTACAAAAGAATGCGACAGCAGTGTAAATAGGACATGTAGTCTATGAATGTGAATTGTTGAATGAACCTCCTCACAAATGCGTGTGTGTGCAAGTAGCAGTGCTCTTGGACGGGGAACAATAGCTGTTTCCTGGCTAGCGTGTCCTAACCCTCATTAGCACTGTGATGAAAAGAGAGACTCTACCCACTGTTTCCTCACACATACACCGCTAGAGTAAAGGTCGGAGCAAAGTGTGCTCTCTGTGTGTGAAGATCAACACAACGGCTCACAGACACTCTCTTATCGCTCAGATGGGGAATGTGGAACGGGGAGAGTTCTCTTCCTAAAGTCTGGAGCGCTCACACACACACACACACACACACACACACTGCAGAACCACAATGTCAGCACGGCTGGAGTGATTAAAGACTCATGAAATCTGAAGTTTTATGGCTCTTAATCTGTTTGTCAGTATGGCAGTATATTCCTAAAGCTTACAAAATGATCTTTTAGCACATTTATATATTATGTCTTTCTTTTCTAGATAAAAACATTGCTGACTCAGACATATTGTACACTTGTTTGATGTGTTGATTACAATACTAAAGAACGTGACTATACTTTTTATTGTTAATTGTGAAAAAGAAGCTTAATTGCATTGGATGTGTACTTGTAGTGTACTTCAGATCTTAAAAGTGTATTTTAAAAAAACAGGTAATACAATACTGAAATAATTGTCACTTAGTACACTTTCATAATTATGTGTCTTAACACACTTAAAAATGTTCACATTGTAATAACATCAAATTTAATATTTTTATCAAAATACATTATAAATCATTGTTTTAGTCATCTTTCTTTTCGATTTAATTTGAAAATAAGTGCACTTATTTTGATGTGTTGACTACCATAATAAAGAACTTGACTATAATTTTTATTGTTAAATGTGAAAAGGAAGTGTGCTTAATTGCATTAAATCTGAATTTTAAATTAAAAAAAAAACTGAACTTGCAGGTAATTATAAATCCTTGTTTTAATAACCTATGTTTTAAATAAGTGCAGTTATTTTGATGTGTTGACTAACATATAAAGCACACGCATAATTTTAGCGTTATTTGATATTACGTTTAAACGTAATATATTTTAACATATACATATATACAAATTCATCATTACAAATGTGTAATTACAAATATATTTAATATATACAATATAAATTACACTGAAGTATATTTTAGTTTACCATAAATGCTGGTCATTTGAACCATATTTCAAAGACAGTAGAAGTAATCATGAAATTACATATAAAGATTTACTTAAATCCAACTTAAGTGGTTTAAATATACCCTGAAGTTTAGCTGACTGCATTTAATTATACATTTTAAATTACAATACAATTTCTTTTGATTGTAAATAACGTCCAATTATGTGCAATTCAAGTATATTCACACTTAAGTATATTCTTATGTACTTGTTTCACAGCATGTTCATGTCTTTGAAGTAAACTAAATGCTATTGGCTCTGTATAAAAAAGGCAAAATCTATTGGATACATCCAGGCCCAACTTCCTGTTTCAACAGGAAATGCGTCCACACAAGACAGAAAACTGCACTCATTAAGTGCTTTCACAGGGTCTTTAAAACTCTGGAGCAGTTGCACACACAGTTGGGATCCACGAAACTTTGGGAACTTCACAAAAGGATTTATAAAGAATGATTTTTGATCCGTGTCTTTAAATCACTTACAATCCAAGCCAAAGTCTGCTGAATAATTTCCCCAGCACAGGGTTTATGATTTTCTTAGTAAGACCTTATGTAAGAACATGATGATAGGTATTCAAACATGCAGATGTTTGGACGGGAAAGCCATGACACACTTCAATCACTGACCTGAGACAGCATTTTGTAGTATTTGAACTCTTGATGGAGATTTGGGGTTTATATGGGACACTGTCCTACCAGCTGTGATGCATTGAGTTATAATACCTAAAATGTATAAAAATTAAAGGAAAAAAAAGACAAGACCGTGCATTTTCTTTTATAAAGGAATGAACTGCTCATCCCATTAAGCACTGCAAGTTTATTTCAAAATATGCAAAAACAAATTGTACAAAAGTATAAGTAGCAGCTTTAGTTCACATGGTAATGGTGACTTCAATGACAGGATTTTGACTTTTGCAGATTTTTTGAAGTTGAAATTACACTAATTTGTGGCTTCACTTAACAACCTCAGAGCTCAAGGTTGATGTCTTGAAATGTTTATGAATCAATTGCTAAACAATAATTTAACTGTATTTTTTACTTCTGGATCCAGATTGTTAAACTCGATGTGCTCTATTTAGAATTTCGGCAAATGAGATTTAATGTAATTGATCAACCTTTGGTGAGTAACTGTAAACTGTTATTTTAAAAAGAAACTGCAACATAACATGGCTTAAGGCAAATTGCTAGAATGATACTTTGACTTAAAAAATAAATAAATAAACAAACAAACAAATAAATAAATTTTGCCTCAGTGGAAATTTTTTTTTTCTAACATGTGGTGTCAAATATTCCTCACATTAAGCCACCAAAACAACAATATTACCGTATTGGCCCGAATATAAGACAACCCTGATTATAAGACGACCCCCCTTTTTCCAGATGTACCTTTTGGAAAAAGGCTTTTTAAAAACCAAATCTTGTTTTTTCTCAGTAAAACACATTTTGTCTTCAATTATTTTCATATTGCATATTTTTCTTATTTTATTTTTTGTTTTGAAAGTATGGTAAAAACTGGTCAAATGTACCAACAATCACATATATTTCATAGCTCACTCGTTTTATGCATATTTGGCGCCACCTATTGTTGTGTGTGTATTATTGACATGTCAAAGTCTAGACCCTGAATATAAGATGACCGCGTTTTCTCAGATGTATTTCCAAGAAAAAAACATTGTCTTATATTCGGGTCAATACGGTAATAATAATAATAATAAACTGTGGGTCTTCTTCAGATTTTTTTGGACAGGTGCACGTTGAGAGCAGAGACTGGCATGAATATGATGATGACTTGTGCTGTTTTTCATAACCACATAAGATGAAACATATTCTAATTTCTCCATTTCTAATATGAAGTTATATAGTTCATTACAGTTTATGTAGCCCTGTTGCCAGGCAATATATGGTGA